TTCGGCCTGGGCCCTGGGGGGGTCTGAGGGGCCGTGGAGCGGGGGCCGGGGCCTGAGGGCGGCGGGGTGTGGAGAGGTGGGTTTGGGGCGGGTGTGAAGGCTTAGGGGGTGTCTGTGGGGTGCGTGGCTGTGGGGCAGCCGTCGTGCCCCGGGGGTGGTGGCCTTGGCGGGGGCGGGGGTGAAGGGGCTACCGGGGAGTCGGCCCTGGGGTGTGTGGGGGACGAGGGGGGAAGATGTGGCGGAGCTGAGAGAAACCTCTTTATAAAAGGCCGGGTTAAAAGGCGGCAGGATGCTCTCCTGGAATCGTCACGAAATCACAGAATCCTGGGTTAAAAAGGACCTCAAGGATCATCTGCTCCAGCCTCTCCCGCCAAAAGCACGCTCTAGACAAAACAGACGCTTCTCTCGGGGGGGGTTATTCCGTGTTTTTACCCTCGACGGGGCTGCAGTGGCTCCGGTAGGGAAGTTGTGGGTCAGGACGGTGCTTTCAGCAGGGTTTTGTTACTTGCAGGGAGAGTTTTCTGGGTTTAACGGCTCAAAAGCAGCTCCTAGGAGGGTGTCCTCATCAGCTTGGCTGCTTTGCTGGTTTGTTTGAGGTGGGGACGGTGAGGTAGAGAGAGAAGAGGGGCCTGAGTGAGCCCTTCTTTGGAAGAAATACCATGTTTGAGGGGTTCTGGAGGGAGGGAGCTGGAGGTTGGGATGAACTCGAGCCCTTTGCTACCAGGTTGTGGCTTCCCACCACACAGCTCTGCTGTCCCAGTCCCTCACCTTGGTTTTGCTGGGCTTTTGTCTGGATTCTGGTCCGCTCGTAGCTTCAGCGGAGAGCTTTGGGGTGAACGACTTGCCAGAAGAAAGCCAAATAATCTCACTTGATGCTGTGAATTAGCACTGGAAGGCCTCTGAGCAGCAGAATTACCCAGCTTTAACGCTGAATGTGTCGAGAGGTGACTTCACAGGAGCTTCTCGTGCAGGAAAGCCTTATGTTCTAGCAGAAAAAAAAATATTTTTCAGAAGGAAAGGTCTGTGCAAGGCAGGGATGGGGTCTTTGCTCACAGTAACTCGCCACGTTTGCTGCGGGATGTGCTTGACAGAGAGGCTTTACACTTTCACCCTTGTCCCCCTGTACTGGGCACTGGTGAGGCCTCACCTCGAGTGCTGTGTCCAGTTTTGGGCCCCCTACCATAAAAAAGACATTGAGGTGCTGGAGCAGGTCCAGAGAAGGGCGACAAAGCTGGTGAGGGGTCTGGAGAATAAGTCTGATGAGGAGAGGCTGAGGGAGCTGGGGTTCTTCAGCCTGGAGAAGAGGAGGCTGAGGGGAGACCTTCTTGCTCTCTCCAACTCCCTGAAAGGAGGGTGTAGAGAGATGGGGGTCGGGCTCTTTTCTCAAGTCCCAGGCGACAGGACGAGAGGAAATGGCCTCAAGTTGCCCCAGGGGAGGTTCAGGCTGGATATTAGGAAACATTTTGTCACTGAAAGGGTTCTCAGCCCTTGGAATGGGCTGCCCAGGGAGGTGGTGGAGGCCCCATCCCTGGAGGTGTTCAAAAGAGGGGTTGATGTGGTGCTGGGAGGTCTGGTTTAGTGATGCTGCTCCTTGTTTGTTGTGTGGGTGTCTATTTTTGTCAGTCAGGTTGACGGTTGGACAAAATGATCTTGAAGGTCCCTTCCAACCTAGAAGATTCTGTGAAGTTCTGTGGAATTAGGGCTGGAGTGAAACACAATCTTATCCCCGGGCCAGAAACCCGGCACCTTCTCGGTGGCGTCTGGGTGTTGCCTTGGGGGGTGTTTCTGGTTTCTGACAGTCTCAGTGGGTGTTTTGTCGCCAATCTGTGCGAGGGCGGCGCGTTGGAAAGACAACCAGAGCCTTCTCCTGCTCTGGAGGGGGGGCTGTTGTTTTGACTGAAGGCACTTCCTGACGGAAACACTCGCAGGGAAATTCTGTGGAGTTGGAAAGTCTCGTTTCCCACCTCGTGTGTTTGAGTTGATCGCGTGGATGCGGCCGAGCGCTCCCCAGAAATCCAATCTTCTTTTCCTGTGGGGTCAAGAAGCTGATCCTCAGGGGTCGGGAGCCGATTCTTGGGATCGAGAAGCTCATTCTTGGTGTCAAGAAGCTTGGTCTTGGGTCAGAAAATGGTTCTTGGTGTCAAGAAACTCATTCTCAGCATCAAAAAGCTGTTTCTCGGGGTCGGGAGCTGACTCTCGGGGTTAAGAATTTTGTTCTTGGGGTTGGAAACCAATTCTTGGGGTCAAGAATTTTGTTCTTGAGGTTGAAAACTGGTTCTGGGGGTCAAGGATCTTGTTCTTGGTATCAGAAGCTGATTCTCAGGGTCAAGAAGCTCGTTCTTGTGGTCAGAGTTGATTCTCGGGGTCAAGAAGCTCGTTCTTGGGGTCAGAGCTGATTCTTGGGGTCAGAAACTGGTTCTTGGGGTCAAGAAGCTCATTCTCGGTCGGAAGCTGATTCTCAGGGTCAAGAATGTCGTTCTGGGGGTCAAGAAGCTCGTTCTTGGGGTCTGAAACCAATTCTTCGGGTTGGAAACCAATTCTTGGGGTCAAGAAGCTCATTCTCAGCGTCGGAGCTGATTCTCAGGGTCAAGAAGCTCATTTCTGGGGTCAGAAACCGATTCTTGGGGTCAAGAAGCTCATTCTTGGTCGGAAACTGATTCTCAGGGTCAAGAAGCTCGTTCTTGGGGTCAGAGCTGATTCTCAGGGTCAAGAAGCTCATTTCTGGGGTCAGAAACCGATTCTTGGGGTCAAGAAGCTCATTCTTGGTCGGAAACTGATTCTCAGGGTCAAGAAGCTCGTTCTTGGGGTCAGAGCTGATTCTCAGGGTCAAGAAGCTCATTTCTGGGGTCAGAAACCGATTCTTGGGGTCAAGAAGCTCATTCTTGGTCGGAAACTGATTCTCAGGGTCAAGAAGCTCGTTCTTGGGGTCAGAGCTGATTCTCAGGGTCAAGAAGCTCATTTCTGGGGTCAGAAACCGATTCTTGGGGTCAAGAAGCTCATTCTTGGTCGGAAACTGATTCTCAGGGTCAAGAAGCTCGTTCTTGGGGTCAGAGCTGATTCTCAGGGTCAAGAAGCTCATTTCTGGGGTCAGAAACCGATTCTTGGGGTCAAGAAGCTCATTCTTGGTCGGAAACTGATTCTCAGGGTCAAGAAGCTCGTTCTTGGGGTCAGAGCTGATTCTCAGGGTCAAGAAGCTCATTTCTGGGGTCAGAAACCGATTCTTGGGGTCAAGAAGCTCATTCTTGGTCGGAAACTGATTCTCAGGGTCAAGAAGCTCGTTCTTGGGGTCAGAGCTGATTCTCAGGGTCAAGAAGCTCATTCTTGGTCGGAAGCTGATTCTTAGGGTCAAGAATGTCATTCTTGGTGTCGCAAACTGGTTCTTGGGGTCAAGAAGCTCATTTTTGGGGTTAGAAACTGATTCTCGGGGTCAAGAAGCTCATTCTTGGTCAGAAGGTGACTGTCAGGGTCAAGAATGTCGTTCTTGGAGTCAGAAATTGGTTCTGGGGGTCAAGAAGCTCGTTCTTGGGGTCGGAAGCTGATTCTCAGGGTCAAGAATTTCGTTCTTGGGGTTGGAAACTGATTCTTGGGGTCAAGAAGTTCTTTCTTGGGGTAGGAAACTGATTCTTGGGGTCAAGAAGCTCGTTCTTGGAGTCGGAAGCTGGTTCTGGGGGTCAAGAAGCTCGTTCTTGGGGTCGGAAGCTGGTTCTCAGGGTCAAGAATTTCGTTCTTGGGGTCGGAAACTGATTCTTGGGGTCAAGAAGCTCATTCATGGGGTCAGAAAGCGTGTTCTTGGGGTCAGAAACCTATTTTTGGGGTGTGCCAGGAGGTTTTTTAACGCCAGCCCCCCCTCTGTGTCCTCAGGCCGCGTGTATTACTTCAACCACATCACGAACGCCAGCCAATGGGAACGGCCCAGCGGCAGCGGGAAGAACGGCCAAGGGGAGCCCAGCAAAGTGAGATGTTCACATCTCCTGGTGAAACACAACCAGTCCAGAAGACCCTCGTCGTGGAGGCAGGAAAAGATCACGCGGACCAAAGATGAGGCACTGGAGCTTATAAATGGCAAGTAAACGCAGGAGAAAGAGGGAATATGATGCTGTTAAAGGGGAAAAAAAGTCATTTTAAGACTAGAATTGGACCCCGAGGGGGTTGGTGTGTCCCCAACTTGCTAAAGGAAAGGGGGGGGGTTAAGCCAAGTGGTTTGAACGTGGACTTTTGTGTGGCCTCGGCCACTCAGAGAAACAATTTTGCTGTATAATTAAATGACACAAAGATAGGTCCCAGCCCATTTGTTTTGTTTTGTTTTGTTTTTTTTTTATAACGTTATTTCAGAGGTTTGTTTGTATTTTCTTTGTCAATGTGTACTCTTCTATTAAAAATAAAACGATTTGACGCTAAAACCAATGTTCTTTAAACATTTCTTTTTGGTTAACGTCACGAGTTTAGAGTCAGTTCTAATTAACCTCTGCTTGAAATGAAGTTGTTTGTAGGAGGGAATCGACCTCGCCAGGAGGCTGGATGGGATGACCTGATCTGCTGGGGTTTTTCCCCAAATATTCTGGTTTGTGATGTGGTCTCGGAGCCAGGGCGCCACGTGTTTATCCTGAGAGATGGTGTTAATCTTTGCAGTCTGGATGTTTTTCTTTTCCTTGCAGCTCTAGCAATAGAATTGAAGCAAGTTTGGCTTTTCCTGCTGTTTTTTTACCTCTTAGAAGGGTGGGGGTGGGTTTAAATCAATCCCGTTGATTAATTGGTGAAAATGAGACCGGGCTCTTTAATGGGCAGCTCTGTCTTTTCTGGGAGTGAGGTTGTATTGAGCCTGTCTTATCTTTTATGGCTTCAGCAAGGAAGGAGGGAAGATCAGGAGGGGATTTTTGGCTCCTGCCTCCATCCCACCCAAGAAGAAATTTAAGGATTTTCTTAATTTAAAAGCCCTGGGAGGGGAAATGATCTTTGCTGAGTGACTTGAAGCACAGAAGTGGTGACCAGCAGGTGGTATCTGCTCACTGCAGTTTGGAAGGGGAGGTTAAAGGAACTGGCAAGGACTGGAATTTTCTTTGGGAATTGTCTCCTTGGGGTTGGGGTGTCACCAGGGGAGGGTGACAACACAGGATGGCATGGAAATCTGTGCCCAGGGAGCTGGGACTGCCATAAAGAGAAATAGATTGAGATATTTCAGCCCAGCTGCAAATTCTCTCTCTCTGTCTGTCTCTCTTATTTATTTTTTTTAAGGAACTGGCAAGGACTGGAATTTTCTTTGGGAATTGTCTCCTTGGGGTTGGGGTGTCACCAGGGGAGGGTGACAACACAGGATGGCATGGAAATCTGTGCCCAGGGAGCTGGGACTGCCATAAAGAGAAATAGATTGAGATATTTCAGCCCAGCTGCAAATTCTCTCTCTCTTTCTGCCTCTCTTATTTATTTTTTTTAAAGAATAAAACTGTTTTAGACCCATCTCTTGGGACTATGTTTGTGGGAGGTGAAATGATGCCCGATTCTGGGGGGTTTTAAGGAGCCCTTGGTGAACTGGGATCTTTGGGAGAGGATTTTAGAAGGGGAAAGTTGGCTCGTTATCTCTAAAAAGGTATTTCAGGAGCTTTTTGTCCAGATGGACTTTTTGAACCATAAATATTCCGTGAACTGGTTGCCTTTAGAAGCCTGAAGAATGTTCTTTAGACTCAACAATTGTCCTTTTTTCCTTTGTTTGGGTGTTTTTCTTTGCGAAGCCGCGGTTCTTTGGCGCCTGGTAAAGGGAGGGAAAGAAACAGCTTGAACTTTCCTCGGCTGGAAAGAAGGAAATTAACCTTGAGAGCCTCAGAGCCTTCTCTCTATCGAATATTTCCCATTTCATAATCTCTCTGGGGTGGCTGAAGGGGAAAAAGTCGTGATTAAAACTCACTTCATGCCCATCCCCACCTTGTCTTCATGGTCGAGGCCGTTAGGGAATTCATTCCTGTGAAGGGAATAAAAAAAACCCCCACCCCAACCACCTTTTCATCCCAAATAAATGCTGTTCCTGGGAAGGTTGCAGAGAATATAACTTTTTTCTTCATTATTTTATGGTGGCTTCTTGAAAAAGTTTGTAAATTCCCTTTTTAGAACAGCTGAGACTTGGTGGGAGGAGGCTGGGCTGAGCTCCGCTCTGGCTCCTGACAATTAGGCACTAATGAACTTCTCTGTGTGGATGTAGGGTACCCTGGCGAGTGGAATTTTAGGGTGGAATTGTCCAAATTTGAGGAGAAATTTGCCCGCCCCGGTGCCACCCCTTCTGTTTTGGTTGGAAATTGTTTCCTGAGAGCTCTTCCTCCGAACCCCGCTCGCCTCTTAATGCTTTATGCAAGAAAAAAACGAGAAATAAATTTGATTTAGGGAGTTTTTTGTCCCCAGAGGAGAGGGGCTGATGCTAAAGATGAATATTTTGGGGTAGGTGAACTCGACTGATGTCAAATATCCCGTTTGATGGCTTTTTCCCCACTAATAAGGGAGGAGAATCGGGGGCGTGGAAGGGACACAGGGAGGATTCAATGGAGGTGAGCTCTCCCAAGGTGCTCTGGCAGGATTTACCTCACCAGGTGCTTTTCTGATGGGTGATAACATCACAGGGAACATGGGACTAAAAGGAAATTTCAGATTTGAGCCTGATTCTGAATTAAAGTTACCAAAACCTCTTAGTTCCCTCCACAGGTTTTCTCAGGCACCGGTTAAGAGGCAGCAAAGGTTATTTCCGACCATCTCTCTACATGTAGAAACCCCATTTCCAGCTAAATACCACTTACGATCAGTTTCCACCCCTTGTTTCTTGCATGAGAGTTGTTTAATTACTTAATTAAATTGAATTCCTTCCTGCTGTTGACCTCTGGGTGGATTTTGAGAGCCCTCCTCTTTCCCAGCCTGTTTTTTTCACCGTGGAGCCGACCGAAGCTTTTAGTTTCTGGTAATGTAGGTCATCCCTTCTGCTCTTTCTGCTCTTCGCCCTCCTTTGCACTTCAGTTTTGATTAATTTTTTTTCCCCCAGCGTGGGTTCATGGTGGTGTGGAATATCCCAGAGCCTCTCTCAGCCCTCCTTCTCCGGCGGCATTTACCGCTGCCCTTCTCTGCTGCGACTTTGCTGCCATGATTCTCCTTTTTTAAAATCATTCTGCCTCTTTTTTGGGTGGGAATTCCACATTTACATCCTCCTCCTTCCGTTGGAGCTCTGCGTACAGCAGATATATATTTATTTTTTTGGGTTGTGTTTGTAAATTGGATCCCCTTGGACCTTCAGGTCACGTTTAATATTCAGATCCTCCCGCTGATGGTGTTTCCCCGTTATTTTCATGCTTCGTTAGTGTCCCCCTTGCTTCTTTTTTCTGGAATCAGCTGGGATTCATCCCAAACTTCACTCCCTAAAAGCTTCTCTTCTCCAATCCAGCACGATCCATCGCTGTTCTTCATCTCCCTCTTTTTGCACTAATCTCCCATTGCTGGATTTCACTTAAACCCCGAGATTTTTTTTTCCGAGGGAGATCATTAAAGCCCTGACGGTACCTAATCTGCCTAATTAGTTCGAAATGGCTGAGATCATCTGGGGAAAGGGCTCATTAATCCCGTTTTGCACGAGGTGCAGGTGCCTCGAGGTGCTTTGAAACAACCACCTCAGCTTTTTTTTAAAAAAAAAAAGCCTTAGGCTTTATCCAGGAAAACCCTCATCGAGTCGACAGGCAGATTTTGCTCTCGGACAGGTCACCAGCAGAAAATTAGGAGGTTTGAACAACTAAATTTGATTTTTATGTGTGGTTGAGTGCTTTGCTCTGTGCTCAGGAAACTCTCTCCCCCTCGGAACCCGCTTGTGTGAGCGGGGCAAGGTGGTTTCAGATCTAAATGTAAATTCTCCGAGCCTTAATTTGGATGCTTTATTACTTTAACAGCAGTAGATAATCTTCAAGCTGGGATTCCCCACGCTCCCGGGGGTGCTGTGTGATGGCTCCTTGCTGGGGATTGGCACCTCTATACAATTTTCTACGTATTTATAGTGGTGCAAATCTGCCTTTTTTAGGATAAACTCTGTTTTCTCAGCGAGTGGCTGCTTATCCCCAAGCAGCTTAGTTTAATAGGATGAACCAGCATCAGTTTCTTTCCTGGACCACGAACGCTGTGAACTGTCTCCCACCCAGATAAATAATCCTTTTTTTTTTCTCTATTTTTTTTTTTTTCCCTTTTTAATGCAGGATAAATAGCTGTTGCCTTAAGTTTTGGAGAGTTTCAGACTTTGGTGGTGACTTTTTCTCCACCCACAGGGAGGATAAATGGGAATAATCTCCCTTCGGTGACAAGTGCGGGCGTTAAAGCAGGAATTGAGATCACTTTTTGGGGCTTTTGAATTATATTCAGGACACCTATTTAAAAAAAAAGATTCTAAACCAAGAGTTAATCAGTCTCCTATTCCTGTTTTTTTTTAAATAACCCATTCTCCTGGCCTGTCCAGCTGGAAAAGTCCTGAACACCTTGTGAATTTAAAAAATTTACATTAGTGGCAGCTCATTGAAAGAGGTGGTTGAATTGGGGAGGAAAAGTGGGGGCTGGAGGGAAGGAGACTAATCTAAAGATTTAAAATCCCATCGTTTTTGGTCTTGTTAGTGTTAAACTGCAATAAAAGGCTTCATTCAGAAATTAATAATTTACTTTTTCATCGCTGCTGGAAACCTCAGCTCCTCCATTCTCTCATTAAGGAATATTTTCTCACCTACCCCCAGCCCTCACAGATATTTCCTCAGGTGGATACAAATATAGAGCATTAAAAAGAGCTGGAAAATCCTTATTTCTTCATCCTTTTGTGTCAGAAACTGACCCTCTTCCTTTTTTTGGGAGCATCCCTCTAAATAATAAAGCCTGACTCTTGAATGAATGCCCGGTCCTTTTCCAGGTGGGGCTCATCCACTGTTTGGGGCTGGAATAAACCATTCTCAGCCCAATTTTATGTATTATTTTTAGAGGGTTTTTTTTTCTAGCAAAGCTCAGCCTCTCGGGAGTTTGGTTGTTGAAACCAGCAGATTTAATACCTTCGAGGGGAGGGGAACGACGTTTTTTTCCTCGCGGTTTCTCTGTTAAAGAAAATCAGGATTTTAAAGAAAATCAGGGGACTTCTAAAGTGGAAGAAGTTCAGGTCTTGATGGTTCTATCAAAAGCTGATGGGGGAGGTTCCTGGAAAGATTTCAAAATTATTTTTCAAAACCATAATTCAAGTGAGAAGTAAGTTTAGCTGGATTTTGGGCTCGCTTTGGGCTGGGAGCCAGAGCATCGATTTGGGGGTTGCTTTTCAGGTTGGATTCCTCTGGGAGATGCTCCTTTGCTACAAATCCGTGGATGAAGGACATTTTTTGTGATGAAATTTCGTTTTAATTCCTCATTTTGGGGCCAAAGTGGGGAAGACAAACCCCTCTGGCTGGATCAGGCTGCGCTGGGAAGGTGGAGCCGGACCCACAGCAGATATTTACCAGTTTGCAGGCTTCAAACCAGTTAAACCACCATCCTCATGCAGAAAACTCCCTTGAAACTGGTATTAAATTGGGTTTTGATGGGGAGTTTGAAGTGGGAGCGACAACTTGGGATTTGGAGTGGCATTAAAAGGACTTCTTTTAATGAAGTCTCTGCAATTAGTGGCTCCGTGATCACGTTATCAAGCTGTTGACCGGAAAATGTGATTTATCTCTTGGGTTTTTCTTGGTACAAGCTGGGAGAACTGGGATTCCACTGGTCCGGAAAGGTTCAGAGCTCTCAGAAGAGCGAGGCAGAGCGTTGGGTTGAGATGAGGAATAGTTTTTAACTGACCTTTTAAAAAGCTGTCTTGACAAATAATTCACTCCTCGAGGATTCTTCGTGCTCGTTCTTCTGCCGAGGTGAGCCCTTCCCAAATCAAAAGCTCATCTATTTTGAAGCCCACTAATAAATCCCTGTGTTTCAGTGGGTGGAATCACCTTTTTTTTTTTTTTCTTTTTTTTTATTTAATAGAAGCTTAAATAGAAATGGGCCACGGCGCGAGGATGGAAATGTGGCTGGAAAAAAAAAAAAACACACATCAGAAACAAGTGCTTTTTGGGGTGTTATAAAAGTTTAATTCTGAGTTCCTTCAGGAGGATTGAAAACCTTTTTATTTGTGATTTGTGCCCTTCTTGCTGCGGGGATGTAAAGTTTAAGGTGGGGGGGGTTGGTGGGTTTTGATTGAAAGCCTTTTTATTTGTGATTTGTGCCCTTCTTGCTGCGGGAATGTAAAGTTTAAGGTGGGGGGGGGGTTGGTGGCTTTTTGGGCTTCTTTTTTTTTCCCCTCTCCTGATGGAATTATTCCCTGTATTTCCAGGCTACATCCAGAAGATAAAATCAGGAGAAGAGGATTTTGAATCCCTGGCTTCCCAGTTCAGCGACTGCAGCTCGGCCAAAGCGGGAGGCGATTTGGGAGCGTTTGGGAGAGGTGAGAGCTCGTCCTTCCAGGGGTGATGCTGATTTTTGGGCTTTAATTTTGGGTTTTAAGTCAAGGTAGACTTCAGCAAGGTTTTTGACACCATCTCCCACAGCATCCTCGTAGGTGAACTTAGGAAGGGTGAGTCGGATGAATGGACAGTGGGATGGATTGAAAAGTGGCTGAAAGACAGAGCTCAGAGGGTTGTGATTAGTGGCACGGAGTCCAGTTGGAGGTCCGTGACCAGTGGTGGTCCCCAGGGGTCAGGACTGGGTCCAGTCCTCATCAATATCTTCATCGATGAGCTGGGTGAAGGGATGGAGTTGGACCCTTGGCACCTTTGCTGGTGACACCAAACTGGGACAAGCAGGTGACACAGCAGAGGCTGGGCCACCATCCGGTGAGACCTGGAGAGTTGGGCAGAGAGGAACCTGATGAAGTTCCACCAAGGGCAAGTGTAGGGTCCTGCCCCTGGGGAGGAATAACCCCCTGCCCCAGGACAGGTTGGGGGTGACCTGCTGGAGAGCAGCTCTGAGGAGAAAGACCTGGGAGTCCTGGTGGACAATAGGGTGACCATAAGCCAACAATGTGCCCTTGGGGCCAAGAAGGTCAATGGCATCCTGGGGGGCATCAGGAAAAGTGTGGAGAACCTGGAGGGAGGTCATCCTCCCACTCTGCTCTGCCCTGGAGAGGCCCCATCTGGAGCACTGGGACCAGTTGTGGGCTCCCCAGTTCCAGAAGGACAGGGAACTGCTGGAGAGGGTCCAGCAAAGGGCTACGAAGATGATGAAGGGCTGGAGCATCTCTCTGCTGAGGAAAGGCTGAGGGACTTGGGGCTTTTGAGTCTGGAGAAGAGAAGACAGAGGGGGGAATCTCCTGGCTGGTGGGTGTCAGGAGGATGGGGCCAGGCTTTTTCCAGTGGTGCCCAGTGACAGGACAAGAGGAAATGGGCACAAACTGGGACATGAGAAGTTCCATCTCAACACGAGGAGGAACTTCTTGACTTTGAGGGTGGCAGAGACCTGGGAGAGGCTGCCCAGAGAGGTGAGGGGGTCTCCATCTCTGGAGACATTCCAACCCCCCTGGATGGGACCCTGTGGGACCTGCTCTTGGTGGACCTGGTTTGGAAGGGGATTGGAGGAGACGATCTCCAGAAGGTCCCTTCCAACCTTTATCATTCTGTGAAGACAAAAATGGATTTATCTGCCGGGCCTCCTGCTGTGCAGGAAATGTACTTTGATGCCTGGAAGTTAAACCAATTAGTAAATGCAACCATAATATTCTTCTAGGCAGAAAAGGCGATGTTGTGCAAACACCCTTCATGAAATTGACTTTTTTTCCCTCTGGAAAAGGATTTTTATCCAGCCCCACCGAGTGGAAATGCGGTGGCAGAGCATAATGAGGCATGAATAAGGGAGAAGTGGATGAGTCTCGTTAACGACCCCCCACATAAACACGTTTTAATCTTCAATGAGAAAGCGATTAGCAAATTGGGGGGGGGAAATGAGAAGAATTCACAGCCCGGCCAAATAATTGAGAGATTTTTGTGAGGGGATTATCGATGGGAGGGACACCCAAAAGCTGGTGGATGCTTCCTCCTTAATGAGATTTGCTGGTGTGGGAGGAAAACCTTTGGGATGGGTAAGAGTAAAACATTAAAAGCCTCCTTTGCTTTGTCTTAACGAGGCTTCTTGCAGTGATTTCCACTAGGAGGGAAATAGAAGGTGATGATGTCCTGAGTACAGCTAGGAAATTCAAAGAAAACACCAAAACCTTGTTAGAGCGAGGGTGTCCACGTGTGTTGTGCTTGAAGAAGGTCAGGAAAAGCTTCTTGTTGAGGACAGAGAGTTTTTCAGGAGGTTTTTGCACAGCTGCCTCGCCGGGCCAGGTTTGGGATGTCCCCAGGTTATGGTTTGAGACCCCCCCCCAACGATTTATTGTCATCCCACAATGATTTCTTGTCATTTAGACCATTATTCCATCAGCCAATGACCCTTCCCCACCCAGGAAGGGGAACTGGAGAACAGGAAGGAAACCCCAGGATTGAAATAGAAATAGATTTAATAGGACAAGAGGAAATAATTAAGAGTAGAGGACCAATATTGATGCTGATACTGATATAAAATAGAGGAGGATTATCCTCAGCCCAATTTCTCAGGGTGCTCCCAGCAAAGGTGGGACCTGCGGCTTCCAGAGGAAGGGAAGGGCTCAGGGCTCTGGCACCAGGGCAAAGAGTTCTCAGGAAGGCAGGAAAAACTCAGCAAACTTCCTAAATTTATATAGAATGTGATGTTTGTGGTATGAAATAACCCTGGTGGCAGCTTGGGACGAGTGTCCGGGTCTCGCTCCTCCTCGTCCCCACCCCCAGGGAGCTCAAAAACACCAAGACCTTGAATCCCACACCCCAGAGCTGGTGATAAAGTAAATATTTTCACCGATTTCAGCCACTAGAGTCTTCAAAAGTGGAGTTTTCCCAAGGTTTAGGAGAGAAATTAGCCCTGTTTTGCCCAAACCAGGATACCTGGGAGTATTTAAAATGCTATTGGGCTGGCAGAAGGGGCTCCGAGTCACTCGTTCAGCCCCTGCTTCAGCAGGTGAAACTCTATTTTAAGTATAGTTTGAGTATTTATTCCCCCCACCAAAATACTAATTTTAATCACTGCTCCTTTTTAGGGTGCAGTTCAGCAACAGTTGCTTCCTCAACTAGATCCTTTCGGGGCTAAACAGTGATATTTTATTGTGTCTAACAACACATTTATCCTGAGGTGCTGCATCTGCTGCTTTGGCTTCGGTGGCAATTGAAACGTGGGGTCGTTTTGATACGGAAAGAGCTTGATTTCTTATATTTATATTTTTTTTTCTGCCTGCACCAAAACATAAAGAAATGTCACAAGAAGCAGTTTCCACTAGATGGCATTGGAACCGTGCGGTGGCCCAAGGCCTGCTCTCCCTCCATCCCCCTCTCTGCCTCCTCTGCTGGTTTTTTTACTGGGCTGAAAATGTAATTTGGTAGAACCGGGGGCGGCGGTTACTGGGGAGGTGAAGTTATTGAAACATTTCCATTTGTCTTCCCCCAAAGCCTTCCAATAAGTCATGTCTCTGTGCTCTGCTGGAGCAGGGAGACCGATAACCTCATCTGAAGGGAAGATTTCAGGTCCTAGTGGAAAATAACCCCCCAAAAAATTCAGGTTTTGAGGCTGACAGTGAATGGCACTGGTTTTATACCCGGAGCTCGTCAACCAGAGAGTCTGCTTCAAGCTTTTAATCTCGATTTTTAGCCATTAATCTAAATGCTGAGAGGAGAGAAGAGAAACTCTGGAAAGCTGGCTGCATCGGGTCGCTTCAGTAATAAACCCCTTTTTTTTGGAAGGAGAAAATAACCAATTGAAGCTATTATTAATCCCAAAAGGGGGGGAATCGAGCGTCTTTTGTGGCATCTTAACTGCCCTGGTGGAGAAAGGGGTAGGGAGGGATGGGGGTCCTGAAGGAAAACATCAGTTCTGGAGATGCTGCTGGGTGAGATGTGGTCTTGGAAGGGGTCAGAAAGGTTTAATTTGCAAAAAAGATGAATAGATGGCTGTGATATTTGCTGATGATCCAGCTCTGGGGCTGCCCAGGAGCTTTCTGCAGCCCCCCCACCTCGAAGATGCTGTGGAATCCAGAGCTGCAGCTCAGCTTGGAAACCAGGAACATAAACTTCCAGGAGATTTCCTTGGGTTTTTTTGGTGAGACAATGGTCTGGGCATCGCCTGGGGCACCTCCAGCCAAGCTTTGAGCAGAGAGAAAAGGTTGCTTCTGTGCCTGGGGGACAGTCACCTTCCCCCTGGCACTTTGTCCTTCTGCTGAAGCTTTTTTTTCTCCCCTCCCAGTGAGACTTTGACCTGTTGGTACCAGTAAAAAACCTCATTATTTCGGCTGAGGGGGGGCAGTTTTCCCTGCTCTAACTTTTATCACAGGAAACTGGGCAAAAATTCCATCTCCCCCCTCTATCAGGCTGGTGTCTCTGCTCTTGGTTTGAATTATTCTGGGTGTTATTTTGCTGTTTTATTCCTTTATTCCCCCCTGCAGAGCTGCGATAGTTGTGCTCCTGAATCCCCACGTGGGGTCCTTGGGGCCCCCCCTGCCTTTCCCTGAGCCTGGAATTCTAAAACTCCTGGAAAAAGTCAGCGAATTTGACTTTTTAAGGAGAGAGGAGCCTTAAGAGCAAGTCTTATCTAGGTCATGACATTCCCCACGTGTGCCTGGTAAATTATTTAGTGTGGGCTGTAACACACACCACATCCACACACCCCCCCCGGGTACCTGGAGGGCACAGGAGAGTGGAAGAGGAACATCCCCTTGTGCCAGTGAGTCTGCAGAACAGATTTCTTCTGCCTTTAGGATTAGGGAATCCTGGAATGCTATGGGGTTGGAAGGGATCTCTGGAGATCATCTCCTCCAACCCCCTTCCAAACCAGGTCCCACAGGGTCCCATCCAGGGGGGTTTGGATGTCTCCAGAGATGGAGACTCCCCCACCTCTCTGGGCAGCCTCTTCCAGGGCTCTGCCACCCTCAAAGTCAAGAAGTTCCTCCTCATGTTGAGATGGAACTTCTCATGTCCCAGTTTGTGCCTGTGACCTTCTCCACCAGTTCCCTGTCCTTCTGGAACTGGGGAGCCCACAACTGGTCCCAGTGCTCCAGATGGGGCCTCCCCAGGGCAGAGTAGAGCAGGAATCAGCCTTTCCTCAGCAGAGAGATGCTCCACCCTTCATCATCTTCGAAGCCCTTTGCTGGACCTTCTCCACCAGTTCCCTGTCCTTCTGGAACTGGGGAGCCCACAACTGGTCCCAGTGCTCCAGATGGGGCCTCCCCAGGGCAGAGTAGAGCAGGAAGATGACCTCCCTCCAGGTTCTCCACACTTTTCCTGATGCCCTCCCAGGATGCCGTTGACCTTCTTGTCCACCAGGGCCCGTTGGTGGCTCGTGGGCATCCTCTTGTCCCCTAGGACTCCCAAGTCTTTCTCCTCAGATCTGCTCCCCAGCAGGTCACCTCCAACCTGTCCTGGGGCAGGGGGTTATTCCCCCCCAGGGGCAGGAACCTCCACTTGCCCTTGGTGGAACTTCATCAGGTTCCTCTCTGCCCAACTCTCCTCTCTTGCCGTCTGGAAGATCTAAACAACCACCTCCCTGTTTAGAAAAGAAATCATCTGTGTTCCTGCAGGTGTGAATTGAGTTGTTCTGGGAGCAGATGAAAACAAACACACCCCTCCCCACGAGTTATTAATTGGGGACTTTGTTGTTTTGCCTGGAAGCTGTCCTTCGTTTGAGATCCTCCTTCCTTAATTGAACTTCTCCTCCGGTGTCTGCTCTTCCCCAGGTCAGATGCAGAAACCTTTTGAAGACGCCTCGTTCGCGCTGAGGGCCGGGGAGATGAGCGGACCAGTTTTCACAGATTCAGGGATCCACATCATCCTACGCACGGAGTGAAGTGCCTTTGGTGACACACACACAAAGGAAAGGGCGAGGGGAAGAAAGGAAAAAATCAACCAACCAACAACCAACCAACCAACCAACCGACCGAGAACAACCTACTCCGACCCCGCACTCTCCCAAATGAACTTCATATCCAGTTTCAGAGTAAAAAAAACCAACCAACCAAACAAAAAAGCTCATTTCATAATCTCAATACCTTCCCTGGCACCTCACGGGATGTTTTTCACCTGCATGGTTTAGCCGAGGCTGAGAAAGGCACCGAAACAAGGCGGTAGCATCTTTCCTAAGCAGAGAGAAATGTTCAAAAAGCCACGTTTTTGGCATGAGTTGCATTTGACGTGTCTCCCGGGCCGAGGAATTGGCCACGCTCGAGGTCCCACCTCCGTCCTTCCCCTCTGTGTGTGTGTGTGTGTGTGTGTGTGTGTGTTTTTCCCCTCCCCAAACCTTCCTTGGCTCTAGAGGCAGAGTATTTATTACGACGAGGTGGGAACTGCGGTGCTACGAGGGAACTGACCCCCCCCCCTACACACCCCCAACCCCCTTCTGCATGATCTTTCCGACGCCTTTTTAACTCCACAGCCCCCTCCCTTGGGTTGTGGAACTGATTTATCAAAGCCATTCGTTAATTAATAGCGGAGATAACGAAGGAGCCAGCTTAGCATGGGGC